TTAGTTGAGCATTCTCATCTTTACAGTGCTAACCATAGATTTATGCTTCTCTTTTAATGGACAATATTTTACACCATAAAATATTGCAAGTCTCACCACCATCTTACAAAATTTATCTTTAAATTTGAGGGGTACGTTTCTACACACAATAGGCCCAATGCATTCCTCCACTTCAATCATTTAACTTGAATTCTACTAATAATATCCTTCTACTAATAATATCCCCATCTATTTCACCATCGCTTTGAACATTATATTAGAGATATCTAAAACATGTATTCTTTTTAATGACTTTGATCAATGTGATTATCCTACCACTAGATCTATAATTATTAAAATTACTAAAATGTATTTCGTTTTAGATTTGCTCAAACATAAATATTTAGTCTTTAAAGTTGACCTTCAAAATTCAAGTTTTTCATCAACTCCCTCTCTAGTCTTAACAATATGAAGAATATCATCAGCAAAAAGCATACACCAAAACACATTCTCTTATAAATGTCTAGAATGAATATCCATGACTAAAGAAAAAAAGATATGGGCTTAAAGCTGATCCTGATGTAATCTAATTGAAATAGAAACCAATAAACTTCTTATCCACTCATCTAATAGCTATTTAAGTCTTCAAAATAATATTAAAAAGTTTAGTAAGAAAAAAAATTCCTTGATCTCATAAGCATTTATACACTTCTATTTGAATATCATGAAGTCCTACTATTTTTCTCTGCTTTATTTTCTTTAAAGCATTTCTAACTTCGATTTTATTAATACGCTGATAAAAAACTAAATTCTTTTTTTTTAGGGTGTTAAGATTATTAAAGTAAATCGTATTCTTACAATCTTCATAAAAAAGTTCTTCAAAATATTACCACCCATCTATGTTGAATATCTTCTATGAAAAATATTTGTTTGATCTTCATCCTTAATGTGCTTCACTTGAAGTAAATTTTTTTTTTCTTATCTTTTTGTTTGACTAACTTATACATACATCTTTTACCTTTTGTATCTAATCCATTGGATAATTAGTAAAAGTTAAATTCTTTGTATTATATATTACTTAGAATCCCTATGGACTTCTCTATATCTTCTCCAATTTTTTAAGCATGTGCATCTAAACATATTTTTATAACAAAATTTTTTATTTTTGATATTTTCTTACACTTTTTGATTATACTGTCAACTATTTTTATTTTAAGGAGCTTTTTCTTTTTATCACATATAGGGTTATTTATCCAAAAATACTAATAAGTCTTTATCCCACTATGTGAGGTCAGGTACATAAATATTTTTTCTATATTGTGTTCTATTACAAGTCAAATTCTCATTTAAATCTAATAAAAAATGTCATTTTTAATACATTCTAACCAAGTTTTTTTTATATCGATATCTACCTTTCTTAACATAGGCTTGATCTAATGCATCTACAGTTCTAATAAGGCCATCAGAAGGCTGACATTTAATATGATCAAACCATCTAAGGCGCTTTCTTTAATCTTATATTAAAAGTATTTAAATTATATATATATATATATGATCATTTCATCTTATGCAGTTTCTGATTTCCATTTAAAACATATATATTTATGATAAGGTTTTCAATATGGGAGTAGAACATAATCCCTTAAAATAGAATTTGTGTTAGCCTCATACCTTTTGTTGTTAAATGATTTTCGTCATTTGGGAATATTTAATTGGTAAATATTTATGAGGTATAGCTATTTGAAGTGTTATGAGGTATATTGCACTGACCATGTCAACAAAATGTTTAAGACAAAGGATAAGAAATGATTGGAAAATAGGCAATTTGGTGTAATACTTGAAGACACGTGATTTTAAAATTTTGTTAATTATAGAGTTAAATTTATGAGACATATTATAAAGGTATGGGAATAGGTTAATCAAATATATGCTTAGAAAAATACATCAATGCTAGAGAATCAATTTGACTATATGCACTTCTGGCCTACCATACAAGAAATATTTGTGCTATGTTAATGTACAACATGAATTAGTCAAATATATTTTAAGTAGTTGCAGAATGACTGAAGAGTTTTCAATTTCAAGAGGTTTGTACTTTGTATCAAAAATTAGTATGAGTTCATATCATTTTATATTGGCTATGGAGATCTTTACAAATGATATTTAATTTGAGATGCTTTAGGCATTCTTTAGCGGGGGTTTATTTCTAATCGATGAGACATTTGTTAGAATATTTAAATGGGAAAATTGGAGAAAATTTTAGAATATAAAAGCTTTAGAATTTAGAGAATGAAAATCATAGATTATTAGGCAATTTTAATTGGTGCGAGATTAAATATTATTAAGCAATATTATTTAAAGATAAAGTGATACCTATATATAATAAGTTTAAGTATCTTGCATTTATTATGTATAAAAAATAGGTTATTGATGAAACTATTACTTCTAGAGTTGAGGCTGACCATTAAAATGGAGTACATAAGTATTTTATCTAATAACAACAACCACAATAACATCAAGCCTTTGTGTCACTACGTGGGGTCGGTTACATGAATCCTTTTTCTCCAATGTGTCCTGTTAAAAGTCAAATTCTCGTTTAAATCTAATAAGGAAATATCATTTCTAATATTTTCTAACCAAGTCTTTTTAGATCTATCTTTACCTTTCTTAACATAAGTCAAATCTAATACCTCTATTTTCCTAACCGGCTCATCGGAAGGCCGCCGTTGTATGTGACCAAATCATCTAAGGCAACTCTCTCTAATCTTATCTTCCACTGGTGCTACTCCAACCTTTTCACGTATATGCTCATTTCGTATCCTATCTCTAAGGGTAAAGCCACTCATCCATCTGAGCATCCTCATCTCGACAACACTTAACTTAGCATTATGCTTCTCTTTTAATGGCTAACATTCGGCACCATAAAGCATTGCAGGTCTCACCACCATCTTATAGAATTTTCCCTTAAGTTTGAGGGGGACTTTTCTATCTCACAACAAGGCCGATGCATTCCTCCACTTCAACCATCCAATAATTCTGCTGATAATATCCCCATCTATTTCACTATCACTCTGAACAATAGATTCAAGATATCTAAAATGTGTACTCTTATTAATGACTTGCTCGCCCAAAGTCACAATGCCTTCACTAGGTCTATTGCTATTAAAATTACACTCCATATATTCAGTTTTAGATCTACTTAGGCAAAAACCTTTAGACTCTAAGGTTGACCTCCATAATTCAAGTTTACCTTCAACTTTTTTTCTTGTCTTATCAACAAGAAGAATATCATCAACAAGAAGCATACACCAAGGTACATTCTCTTGCAAATGCCTAGTGAGAACATCCATGACTAAAGCAAAAATATATAGACTTAAGGCTGGTCCTTGATGTAATCCAAGCGAAATAGGAAACTACTTAGTCAAACCACCTTGTGTTTGAACAAAAGTGCTAGCTCCTGCATACATATCTTTAATGATTTGAATATAAGCATTATTAACTCCTTTCTTTTCTAGAACACTCCATAGCACTTCTCTTGGAACTTTATCATATGCTTTCTCTAAATCAATAAATATCATATGTTGATCCTCCTTATTCTCTCTATATTTCTCCATCAAACTTCTAAATAAATGTATGGCTTCCATAGTAGACCTACCCGGCATGAATCCAAATTGATTTTGAGAAACATTAGTATCACACCGCAACCTATGCTCCATAACTCGCTCCCATAGTTTTAAAGTATGACACATTAGCTTAATTCCTCTATAATTTGCACAATCTTGTGCGTCACCTTTATTCTTAAAAATAGGAAACACACTCATTCTCCAGTCATCCGATATCTTTTTAGTCTTCAAAATAGTATTAAAAAGTTTAGTAAGCCAAGAAATTCCTTCATCTTCTAAGCATTTCCACACCTCTATTGGAATATCATCAGGTCCAACAGTTTTTCCATACTTCATTTTCTTTAAAACCTCTCTAACTCTGTTTTACTAATATGCTGATTAAAACAAAAAATTTAATTTTCATTTAGGATGCTAAGATCACTAAAGTCAATCGTATTTTCACATTCTTCATTAAAAAATTTAGCAAAATATCTCGTTCACCTTTTTTGAATATCATCTTCTAAGAAAAGTACTTTTTGATTTTCATCCGTAATAAACTTCACTTGAACTAAAACCTTACTACTCCTATCTCTTTGTTTGGCTAACTTATAGAGATATCTTTCTCCCTCCTTAATATCTAATCTATTATATAAATCATTAAAAGATATGATCTTTGCGTCGCATATTGCTTTTTTAAATTCTAATATGGGATATAATTGATATTTAAAACTAAATTTTATAAAATTGCAATTTGGTCATTGCTAATGAATGGATCTGTGTTGGGTAGTAAAAAATATATTGATAGCAAACGTGAGCATGATAGAAATGAGAATGTGAATATGGGTGCATGAAAAAATTAGGAAGACTACTTTATGAATGATTATATTAGAAAAATGATTTGTGGGTCATCTATTAAAGATAAGGTGATTGAAAGAGATTTTTTTTATTTGGATTGCACAACAAAGCGAGAATATGCCCATTAGATAGGCAGATAAAATTAATGTTGGAGGATTAGGAGAGAATGAAATCTAAGGTGTCATAGATAAAAGTTCAAAATAATTTGTGAATAATATAGTTATGCCTCTGGTACCACTCTATATGAACAAATGAAAAGCAAGGATTCATAAAATCAACTCCAAATAGTTGCGATATTGTTAATGAGGATACTTAAAATTAGAAATATTTCAAAAGATTGATAACATATACATCAAAAGTGAATAATGTGGAAAAATATATTCAGTAGGTGTTATATGCCACATGGCAGTTCTGTAAGAGAAAAAGATACACCCATTAATTTTCTCTCTCTCCCATTGGATATCATTTTTAATAGTTGATAGGCTTAATAGTATGTGATGTTTAAGAATCCATATATATGATAAACATCTGTTGGCTCACATTTCTTTTCTTTCATTATGTCAGACTACAAGTTAGATGAGGGGAATGCATACATGTGGCTTAGGGGGAGCTCAGGGGGGGGTATTAGGTCTTTGAATTTTCAATCTCCTGGAATTGGTCCGTGTGTTCAGCAGCAGGTCCAACCACAATTGGGAAACAATCACACTCCTTACCAAGCAATGGATGCTGCAGCTTGTGATATTAGAGGCATGGATTCACTTAGGCAGCCATTTCTAAACTTCCAGCAGCCGTTTCAGTTCCCTCAGCAGTTCTGTATGAACCCATTGCTGCAGCAGCAAGTTATTCAACAAGCTCACCATGAACAGATAATGAATTCTCAAGCTCAGTCTCTGTTGGATAGTCAACCAAACATTACTTCAAATCAGCTGTTGCAACAGCCATACGGTGATCAGCAGAAGCAAAAAGGTCAGCAGCAACCAACTTATCCAGAACTATTTCATGTTCAGATTAATAATATAGAACAGCAACAGCTGCCAATACCCTCTCCATTATCTCAAAAATCTGTATTTCCTGATTCAACTATGAACTTTTCATCAGTTGCAACACCCAGTTGCATACAGAATTTGTCAGCAGCGGCTTATTCTGGAACAAATGCTAATAACTTGCACTTTGCAAAAACTGGTCAGACAATGCTGGCTGAGCAGCATCAGCAAAAATGGGATCCACAGTTTGCATTGCAGAAGGTTTCTACTTTTGGTAATACAGTTTTGCTTCAACCATTTCACGGAAAAGATGATACAAGGGAATCTGATGTCTCTCCCACTGATACACAAAACCACAGCCTATTTGATATCAATGTTGGTTCTTCCTTGCTTCTTGGCAATGTTGTGCCTAATCTATTAAACGCAAACAATAATGACAATGTTGTATCCAGCATGCCATTTACCACTTCTTATCTTCAAAATTCACTTTATCACAGCCTTGATGAGTCATCAGGTATGTTGCAGCATACCTACGACATTGATCCATCAATCAAAACTTTTGTAAAGGTGGGTGTGTTAAGAAAAAATTTTCCCCCCATTTCTTATAGATTGGAACTCCAAGGTTATCTATCTTGTAACTTACTTTCAGGTTTACAAGTCAGGCTCGGTTGGGAGGTCACTCGACATCACTCGTTTCAGCAACTATACTGAATTACGAAAGGCACTGGGTCAGATGTTTGGTATTGAGGGTCAACTTGAAAACCCTCTTAGATCAGGCTGGCAGCTTGTATTTGTTGACAGGGAGAATGATGTGCTTCTTCTTGGAGACGACCCTTGGGAGTAAGACTTTATTATTAACCTTGAACATCTTCAATTTAAAGAAACATTGATCAGCTTATGCTTCTCATCAACATTCATATATTCATTTCCCAACTATCTGCAACTTAAGCAACATCAATTGTCTATAACTATTTTTTAGTTACATGTGTAGAGACAGTTATTTATATTGAGCTTTCTGAAGGCTCCAGCGACTAAGGTTTATATGATTTATAAATGCTTTATCAGGTGTATATGCTTCAAGGGTTGAGAAACCTTAGCTCTCTTAATACTAGTTCAAAATTTCAATTAGCTTAAACGTGGCATGCTGTGAACATAAACAATTAGATTTTCTACTATCATTGGAAGAAACCTTAATGCTGGTTCTGTGATGGGAATCCCACGTTGATACTAGTAATTATTGAGCAGAAAACGAAGTTCAAATTATCTCTGGTCCTGAGCAATGTCGTGCTAGGAAGTAGTAACCAAGTATGAAAACTATGTATGCTGAGTAATTAAATAATTTTTCTGGCAAAACACCTGGCGTACAGTTACTTATATACGCTTCAACATTTTGTAGCTATAAAAATTTCTTGTGTTATTTGTAAGATGTGATCAATATATCGTAGCTTTGTACAATGCCTATGCAGACTTTGTGCATTCATGGTTGGCCGATCAAAACCTGTACCTCTTCACCTGGTATTCATTTCTAATTAATGCAGATCGTTTGTGAACAATGTGTGGTACATCAAAATACTTTCACCAGAGGATGTTCAGCAAATGGGGCAGCAGGGAGTTGACTTGAGCTAATTAACTTTGAATTTCAATCAAACCAAATGGCAAGTAAGTTTATTTGTGCTTGCACCAGAATATTCCTATACTGCGGTGAACATTCTAAGTATTTTTTTTTATTTAGGCACTATCAAATCTTAATACGCATAATTATTATTTTGAATGTTGTTGCATGCATGTGTCCATGCCCTGTAATGTGGGGAATATATATTTATGTATAACCGGATAATATAAATGTATAATAGTTGTAGTTCCTCTTATTTAATTTAGTAAGGTGTCTTTTTTGTTTCCATTCCTCGGTTGCACAAGTTTTGCTCAAATCAAAGTTGGTCCACGGGGGTATCTTATTTATAACGTGTGGGAGATTTTTTGTTTGCATTTTCCAGTAGTATTTTTTCTGATCAATATCAAAGATTGTCTAGAGAAGTGACTCCCTCCCCTCCTTCCCTCCCTCCAGAAGGATCCATATTATCATATTTTTAGTTGACTTTAAGCACTAGTCCGCCAAATGAATCTACTTCAAAGTTCTGGGATGAAACTTTTATGAGTTTGGATGACGCTGTTGACCATCATCATAAAACTGTTTTCCTATCATTTGGATTCATTGTGAGAAATAACGATGTGTTTCTTCAAGTGGTTAACCGAGTAAATGCGACCTTTTTTAACGTTGCAAATACACTACGAAGGCATGCTAGTTTATGAGATTATTCCATCATTATGGTATGAGAATATGAACGCTATTTCTGCACTTTTATCTGATCAGGTGTCATATTTTGTAGGTCTGCTCGAGGTGAAATCCCCGTAGGTGCCCAAAGTCTGTACTGTCTACTGTTAAACGTATGACAGTAAAATCTGCATAAGATACAGATATTTATGCTATAAAATCCTTGTTGTGCAGGTTCCTATTTGCTCTTCCATTTACTTCTCGCCAATAACCATGCTCTTAGCTGTTCCATGTACTCTTAAATAGTATATTTTATCTTCTTATCTTATTTAATTCTAATTTGTAAAGAACAAAGTGTCCTAGAATATATCTAAAGCGTGGATCTAAGATTCGATTACTGGAATAATTTTGGACATCCAGTGAATTTAGCTCCTGTAATGTAAGTAGGATTCGAGGACTGAGGAATTTATCCTTATCCATGGATTTATGAAGAGATTTTTGTGCTTTGGATATTATCTCTAGATCACTAGTGAGATAACTTAATCAACGCCTTAATCCGAATGCGTTTCTCTTTTGTTCTTTCTTTTTTTTTTTTTTTTTTTTTGAAGCAATTCTAATTCATTTATATTCATGCTTTGGCCCTTTACAAGTAAAATAAAATTACCATAAATATCATTTTAAAAAAGTAAAAACGTCATGTTTTACGTCATGGATAATGGGCTAAAAGATTCCTGACTATATTACTATTCCTACTAAGTTTGGTGAGTTCATGATGGAATCCATGTTTCATGTTATTGAAAGCCAAAACAGCTCTCATGCTCTATAAGGGTGTCCCTATTTACATTGAATATTGGATTATACTTTCTTATTGGCATTCGTGCATTAAATACATGAGTTGGTGTAGAGTTTTTTTTATTGTAGGTTATATTCAATCCTTTTCAATTAATGAAATAGGATGATGATATTGAGTATCTTATGCATACGAAGAAATAAATCCACTTGATTAATCTTCCACCGACTTTTGACAAGAGGTGGACTCCTATTATATTCTCTTCCAAAAGAGGAGGAAGGATGCCTCGTAGGGGAGAACTTGAGGTTCTGCATTCTCAAGGTTGGATGTAGTAAGATGTTTTCTATTGTCTTTGGTTGTATGATTTTATTAAACTACAGCACTTATAATGATACTAATAGGTAGGCAGACTCATGAAATTGATGATTAGGATGATTTTTTTTTTTTTTTTCTTTTCTGGAAGCTTCATTGTTTAGGAGCATGTAATTAAGAGGTAATTTAGACAATGATATGCTTTTAAATTTTGATACTCTTCTAGTTTTTTATGCTTCCATTTAGGCACGTGTGACTTAATCTAATAATCTTTTTGAGTGTTGATCTTTTGTTAAGCATTTGGGAAATGATCTTTAAAATTATAGTACTTCATTAATTTGTTTCTATTTTGAGGATAATGTACATGACATTTAGAGGAAATTATCAAGCGAATTCCATGTTATTTTATGATGTAATAATAGTGCATCATACTGATGTTGTACTTATATGTAAACCAGATTAATTTCATGATGAAATATAAGATATATTCGATTCTTACATTCTTTTTAATTTAGTACCAATTCTTAAAATGAAAATTCTCTTTCATAAATTATTTAAATGTCATGCCAAGTAATACAAAAGTCTATAATAAATCAAATAGATTAGAAAAAATCGAGGCATAGATTTTCCTAAGAAACTAAAGTTTAAAAGAGCTAGAGATTTCCATGTTAGTTATGTATTGTTTTTTAGTTTTTGTTGTCGAGCTAATTCTTTAAATGACATTGATTATTTCTAAGATTCAACCCTTGAAATCATTAGTGTATCGTTAGAGCTGAAGATGGTACTCAATCTACCATTCACGAGTCAAGCAAGATAAACTTAGGAATAGAGGATAATCATTGTCCCACCATTATCAAGTTTCTCCCACAAAAATTTTCTCACCAGATAAATGCAAGTCTTAAATGTTTCTCTTGACTTTTTTTTTCTTGGGGTTATTCTAAGATGCATGATTTAGCTTGTAAAATATTCTCATCCAAAGTATTAGTTAGTTAAGAACCTAAGAGGATGCACCCTAATATTAAGTAATTGTTTATTAAAGAGGCAAAGAAATTGATTGATGTTAGGTTCTTTCCCAAGGCTTTTTGTCAAACTCAGCTTAACGATGTTATACATGTGTAAGAAAGATAAATTTGAATTTGTATAACTTTCAGGGGCTTAGATAAAGCATATGCAAAATATGAGTTTTTTTTTTTCCTATACCATGGTTAATAGAACATAGACTAATTCAATATTCTCTTCCATAGGTGGCTTATCTGGTTGAAGCCAAATCAAGATAGCCCTAAAGATGATGGTTCATGGCATTTGAAACAATGACATGCATTTATTATTATAAATCTATGACTTTTAGATTGAAGAATGGTGGCATAGTATATCAATGTGCCATGACATAGATCTTTGAATAATCTCTACAATTATGAGATCCAATGTTACATAGATTTTAGCTTTATCCAAAACAAAGCTATTGATTATCATATAATTTATTTATGGATTAAAGTATGTTGAAATACAAGCTGCAAATGGGTCTCTCAAAAGGTGCTTTTAGAGTTTCATCAAAAATGTTTATAGTGTTCATAATCCATTATAAAGAATTCAAAATTACATATATGAAAATTAAGACTATGCTCTTTGTTTGTAAGATTTTATTACAATATAAAACTTTAATGATACTAATAACTAGACTCATAAAATTGATGACCAGGATGATTTTTTTTAATGATACTTCATAGTTTAGGAGCATTTAATTTAGAGATGATTTAGAAAATGGTATGCTTTCGAATTTTGATGCTCTTCTAATTTTTTGGGCTTCCATTTAGGCACACATGACTTAATCTAATGATATTGAGTGTTGAACTCATGCTAAGCATCTAAGAAGTGATCTTCCGAATTATAGTCTTCATTTGTTTCTATTTTGAGGATAATGTACTTGACTTTGAGGAGTAATCATAAAAAAAAATTATGTTATTTTATAATGTAATAATAGTGCATCGTACTGATTCCATACTAATATATGAACCAGATTTTCACGATGAAATAGAAGATATATTTGATTCTTACCTTCTTTTCCTTTTGGTACCAATTCTTAAAATGAAAATTCTCTTTCATAATTTTTTAAATGTAATGCTAAGTAATGCAAAAGTCAATGACAAATCAAATAGATTAGAAAGAGTTGAGGCACACATTTTCCTATGAAACTAAAGTCTAAATGAACTAGAGGATTCCATGTTAGTTATAGAATGATTTTAGTTTTTTTTATCAAGCTAATACTCTAAAAGACATTGATTATTTCTAAGCTACTATTCTAAAAATCATTGGTGTACCCTTAGAGCTAAAGATGGTACTCCATCGGCTATTGAAGAGTCAAGTAAGAATAACTTGGGAATAGAGGACAACCATTGACCATTATCAAGTTTTTCCTTCAAGATTTCTCTCACTAAATAAATCCAAGTCTTAAATGATTGCCTTGACTATTTAAAAGTTCGTTAGGGATGTTAAGCTCTTATGAACTAGCCCGAGGCTAACCAAGAGGGGGGTGAATTGGTATTTTAAAAAATCTTTTACGATAAAAAACACAAAACTCAAAACAAAATTCACCACAACGATAATTAAAGTGCGAAAAAATACATGCAAAAGAAACTGTCATAAAGAACACAAAGATTTATAGTGGTTCGGTCAACACGACCTATGTCCACTCCCCGGAGGCGCCCTCTGAGTATTACACTAAAACTCAGCGACTCTCCTTTTGCTCCCACAGCAAGGCAGAGAAGCCATTACAAAACTCCTTTCCACCGACACCGGTGAGGCAGAGAACCCAACTCCTTTTGCTTCCTCCTGAAGCAGGAAGGGAACCTAACTCCTTTTGCTTCCTCTTGAAGCAGGCAGAGAATCTTGATCGATTGCTGAAGTGAACCTCTCTCAACCCTCTAAGGACAATGGACTATGATGGAAGAAGAAGATGTGGATCCAAGCTTGGAGCAATCTTTGTAAAATCCTCTCATAAACTCCCCCTCACAAGATCCTCTCTCTCTCCCCCTCTCTCTCTCCCTCTCCTTTAGGCTCTCTCAGGTTAAGACAACAGTAAAAGATGTTATAAAGGGTAGAATAAGAGCTCTTAAATAGAAGAGCTTCGGAATAACTCATTAATTGCAAGGAACCGACTCTATCGTCCTGGACGATCAGTGCAATTTAAGTTTAATCAGCCAGGACGATCAGGGACGATTAGATGAATTTTATTCATATCATCCAGGACAATATAAAATTGTCATATACGAAGTATAAATCAGAGAATATCATCCACACAATCGCACTAAATGCTTGTCTAGATGGTGGAAAAATAGCTTAATCGTCTAGGCCGATCTCATGATCGTATTGGATGATTAGTTCAAATCTGTGAAAATCCTCTAGAGCATCACTCTGAATAAAAGCTATCCGATGTTGATCGTCCAGGAGCAACTAAGATATTTTGAACTGATCGTCTCGGATGATCCTGCGATCATCAAGGATGATGTGATCGTATCAATCAAGCCTTAATTGCTTTCCTTAATTACTAGATTAATTTAGGCATAATTGTGTGCATCGGCCAAGACGATGTCCTGGATGATATCCAAAAATAAATAATACCTAAATAGATTTGGCGGCTGATTCTTTCTGATTTGGGCATATCGTCCCAAACAATACAAATATCGTCCAGGACAATGTGCTTAATGACGACTGGCTTAACAAGGATGCCCTAATTAGAGTTTTTGTTTTTAACTAATCGTCCAGGATAATATTTGAATCGTCCTAGACGATGTCCTCAAAATAGAGAACTCTAAATCGGATAGAAAAAAATTTCCCCAAGTGTGTGTGTAAGATTACTTAGCATTTGAAACCATATTTATTACAAATAGACTTAAGAAAGAAAAAAGTTATAAACTAACTCAGACCTAGTCTATCCAATCTTGAGCTGGTTCAAATTGCAGTCTTGATTATGTGGACCTAAAATATTAGTATGCAAGGCAGTTGTAGATAAATATAAGTGTTTGGTATCAATAAAATTCTATTTCTGAAATCAGATATGCAACAATCTCCTCTTTTTTGATAATGATAAATATAAACAAAATTAAAGCAATTTAAAATAGCTTAAGAAAAATAGTGAGACAGAAACAAACAAAGTTCAACAGTCCAATAATATAATCAAACTAAAGAGTGAACAGTACAATTAACTACTCCCCCTTTTGACATCATTGAAAGGAGGAGGAAAATAAAAACAGTAAAATAGAAAAGGACAAATATAACAAAAACATACTAAAAGAAAGTTGGGTCCTAATCATCCGAAGTAGGAGGTGGTGGTGGTGGACACTAAAAGTAGCTAAAAAGAGTGGCAAACTGTGCTCCAAACCAGGCCATGTCCTGGTCGTGCTGCTGGTGGTGGTGTGTAACATAGGTGTCAAAACGGGCTAAGTCCACAGCACATTATTGC